TTCTAATAGGTGCTGCTATTTGCTGACCAAAATGACACCTGTTTTTTGAGTTCTCCCGTACTCGCGTGATTTGAGACCACGAAGGTCCGGTGAAAGTTGTGGTATATTACAGTTAAGGTAGGCGTCTGGCCAAGGACGGCTACCTTTTGAAGACCCGCGCTACTGGGCCGGGCTGCTGCCTATCGGGCCACGACCAGAGTCCAAAACAGTTCACCAGAGCCAGGCGGTGACGAGGTTTCAGTCCGTCAGCCTTTTAACCGGTAACAGAGGTGGAGCTCCGAGGCCGAAAGGTCAGAAGCTCTCAAAAATTCCGTAAAAGCGAACGTGAAGGAGGAAAGGCGGGTAAGTTTGGTTGTGTTATGTAGAATTTCAGCAAAACTCGAGCCTTTCCTGGTCGTCGATTGCTTTTCAATTGCGATTTAATGGCACTTTGATTGGTATTAACGATGATAAATCAGCAAGGGTCACTGATGGTGTATGTATGGAAAGCCCCATAGCCATTTCGCTCCCGGTCCACAACCATTTTCCAGAAGAGAAAATCGCTAACTCGAGAACAGGAAAAGCTAAAAAGCTGAAATTTTGGGATTATGTTTCCAGTCCAAGTAGAACTCAAAGATTTCAAATTCAGCCCCCGGGGGTTCGTGGTTCCCGAGTACGGCCCCCTGAGGTCCACGAGGTGCAAAATGAGGTCGAAAGGAGGTGCATAACACAACCAAGCTTACCCGTCTTTCTTCACTCACGTTCGTTTTTTACGGAATTTTTGTGAGCTTCCGACCTCTGGGCCTCTATAGGTTCACGGAAAGGCGTCGGAAGGAGGTGGTGGGATCAGAGCAGTCTTCCGCTTCTCTGATCGTACCTCTTCCCACTTCTCCGCAACAATAATTGATGAGATGAGCGCTTTATAATAAAGCTTTATCCTTTTAAGTACAACTTTGCTGCTTGTTGCGCTACTACTCTACTACAAAACAAAAGGCAGTACGGGCCTAAAAGGCCATGTAAGGAAAATAGTAAGAAGGAGCCAGAACAGCGACCCAATCAGCGAAGGGTATTGAGCGGCAGAGGCCACACCAACCCTACATGCAATAGGAATAAGCAAAGGTAGGACGCGGTGGCCGTCCAAAATCCGAGGAGGTGGTGAGGGAAGGAAAAAAAGGTCCAGATTATTGTGACGCATATTTTCAAAAACAGGGTGGCATGTGAAAAAGTCATGTAAAGAGCTGTACGTAAAAAAGCCAGTCCGTGTTTCATCCCCAAGCTGTAAACACAGACTGCAGGAGGGGTGGTTAGGAGTGGGAATCATCAGTACAGCCCCCTAGCCACCATTAGGTACAGATTGCGATTTCGAGGGCATCTCTATGTGACGGCTTTTTCCTGCACTTGCAAAAAAAAATCAACAGGCATGTTAAACTGTAGAGCAACAACCATTCATAGTTTTGTTAACGACCTGACTGCGTCAAGTTTAGCGCAAAAACGCATGATTGCATGGCCAAACCTGGTGTGTTGCTACCTGGGTTTTATTAAAAGGTGGCCCGTGAGTTTAATTAAGAATGTAATTCAAGCCCACGTATTGCCAAAGGTTGCTCATACCGGATCTAAGTAGATCAATGTTATTGTTGCAGGAGCTGATAGATATGGCAATCCTTATACATCGGGTACAGTTGGCTCGCAGTATGACTATGTGCACGATGAGGAAGATGCAACGTTCCAGCTTGTGGACACCAGCAAGCCACAACGATCAAACATGCAAAAAGGTGGACGGATGCGTCAACAGCAGCAGTTCTATGTATGTGTCGTTTTATTATTATTTTTGAAATTCTTAGCTCATTTTTTTATGCGTTTTGTGCTGTGTAACAGCAGTACAAAAGGCATATTGTCACGGGGTTGTCTGTGTGTGTGTGTGTGTGTGTGTGTGTGTCCCGCAGCAAATTGTCCGCAGTTTTCAACTCGGGAATCAGAAAAGCTGGGAAGCTGAAAATTTAGGGGAACGTTTCCCACTCACGTGTGACCCCGCAAATTTAAATTCAGCTTTCCCGTAACCGCGGGTAACACGTACGGCCCCGTGAAAGTTTTTTACGGGTAAATTAATATCTCAGGAACCGCGGAGTCTAGGAGGCCGAAATTTTGGGGTAATGACTCCCTGCCCATGCTCAACCTTGCCCATTCAAATTCAGCGTCCCTGCGTTCTCGAGTATCACCTATGGGCTAGTGAAAGTTTTTACGGGAAAACTATTAGCTCA